TAACCTGTATCTCTGCAGACAAGTAAAGTGAGTGGGTTTGCCCAGGACTCGGAAGTGAGAAGACACTGCTATGTGCCAAGAGAATCTAACCATTTCAGTATCTAAGAAAAGAATGTTAGAGAGTACAATAAATGGCCTGGAGAGAAAAACAGGAAGTGCCACCTAGTAACCACTTTACAGTAGCATGATGAGGCCAAAATGTCCTCAAGAAAGCAGTGCCTTATGCAAAAATATGGGAAAGAGGCTTGGGAGAAAAGGCCACTATGCTAGGAGCCAACGTTTTAGAAGAAGGGTTTCAGAGTAAAAAAGAAGCATGTACATCATAGATGTAAAAGAATCTTATAAAAATAAGTGAAAGTCATTTTTGAAAATCTAGGCACAGTTTAATGTAATGAAAATAAACTATATATTTCTATGCAAATACTAAAATGGTATATATTTTATTCAGTACATTTATAACTCTCATAAACTCTTATAACTATCTTTAAGCAAATATGTAGAATTTACAAGAAATAATTTTGGAGATAAGTCTTTTTTTAACAAAATAAATCACTGAGTATTTCCTTTATAAAGAAGATTCCACTTATGCATTTAAGTTATGATCCAATTTTTAAAAGATGATGATAAATAACTTGGGTTATGGTCTACAGTAAAGGGTATAGCGTAGTCTTAGGCAGGAAAGCTATAATAAAATACCTGTGCACTCAGACTGTGGTTTTAAGTACCATAGAAATTGAAGTATTATAATGGGTGGTCTATAAGTTAAGCAAGGAAATTGACTTACTAACAAGAGAATATAATGTATCTCAATGATACTAGAAAAATGAATAAAGTGAAAAGATTCAGTCTGAAAAGAACCTGAGTCATCAAATAATGAATTTTCAAACTATGACTCTTCTATGGTTCCATAAGAAAGAGACAGGAGTACTCAGTTCTTACTCAAAATTGATTTTCAGAGAAAAATAAACCACCAGAAGATTGAATGGTGAACTCTATAGTCTAGTTATAGTGAACAAAACATTCAGACAGGAAGTGAAAAAATCTGTGAGGAAAAAAAAGATGCCTAATTGTAACACCCCAGAACTACTTGAAGAATGACAGAATGTACAACTAAAAATTAACTCATAGAATTGCTGTATGACTTTAATGAATGGTTCATATTTTTAAGGGCAAAGCCTGCGTGTATGTGTGTGTGTGCATTTCTTCTATAACTAATTTTCTGCCTTGGCTTCACATTATAATCATGGGTCACTTGAGGAGCTTTTTATAAAGAGAGATGTTTGTGCCTTGTTCTAAAACAATTAATTTGAATATCTAGAAGTAGGACCTGACCATTTTTTAAAATTATACTTTAAGTTCTAGGGTACATGTGCATAACGTGCAGGTTTATTACATATGTATACGTGTGCCATGTTGGTGTGCTGCACCCATCAACTCGTCAGCACCCATCAACTCATCATTTACATCAGGTATAACTCCCAATGTAATCCCTCCCCCCTCTCCCCTCCCCGTGATAGGCCCCAGTGTGTGATGTTCCCCTTCCCGAGTCTAAGTGATCTCATTGTTCAGTTCCCACCTGTGAGTGAGAACATGCGGTGTTTGGTTTTCTGTTCTTGCGATAGTTTGCTGAGAATGATGGTTTCCAGCTGCATCCATGTCCCTACAAAGGACACAAACTCATCCTTTTTTATGGCTGCATAGTATTCCATGGTGTATATGTGCCACATTTTCTTAATCCAGTCTGTCACTGATGGACATTTGGGTTGATGCCAAGTCTTTGCTATTGTGAATAGTGCCGCAATGAACATACGTGTGCATGTGTCTTTATAGCAGCATGATTTATAATCCTTTGGGTATATACCCAGTAATGGGATGGCTGGGTCATGTGGTACTTCTAGTTCTAGATCCTTGAGGAATTGCCATACTGTTTTCCATAATGGTTGAACTAGTTTACAATCCCACCAACAGTGTAAAAGTGTTCCTATTTCTCCACATCCTCTCCAGCACCTGTTGTTTCCTGACTTTTGAATGATTGCCATTCTAACTGGTGTGAGATGGTATCTCATTGTGGTTTTGATTTGCATTTCTCTGATGGCCAGTGATGATGAGCATTTTTTCATGTGTCTGTTGGCTGTATGAATGTCCTCTTTTGAGAAATGTCTATTCATATCCTTTGCCCAGTTTTTGATGGGGTTGTTTGTTTTTTTCTTATAAATTTGTTTGAGTTTTTTGTAGGTTCTGGATATTAGCCCTTTGTCAGATGAGTAGATTGCAAAAATTTTCTCCCATTGTGTAGGTTGCCTGTTCACTCTGATGGTAGTTTCTTTTGCTGTGCAGAAGCTCTTTAGATTAATTAGATCCCATGTGTCAATTTTGGCTTTTGTTGCTGTTGCTTTTGGTGTTTTAGACATGAAGTCCTTGCCCATGCCTATGTCCTGAATGGTATTACCTAGGTTTTCTTCTAGGGTTTTTATGGTATTAGGTCTAACATTTAAGTCTCTAATCCATCTTGAATTAATTTTCGTATAAGGAGTAAGGAAAGGATCCAGTTTCAGCTTTCTACTTATGGCTAGCCAATTTTCCCAGCACCATTTATTAAATAGGGATCCTTTCCCCATTTCTTGTTTTTCTCAGGTTTGTCAAAGATCAGATGGCTGTAGATGTGTGGTATTATTATCTGAGGACTCTGTTCTGTTCCATTGGTCTATATCTCTGTTTTGGTACCAGTACCATGCTGTTTTGGTTACTGTAGCCTTGTAGTATAGTTTGAAGTCAGGTAGCGTGATGCCTCCAGCTTTGTTCTTTTGACTTAGGATTGTCTTGGAGATGCGGGCTCTTTTTTGGTTCCATATGAACTTTAGAGCAGTTTTTTCCAATTCTGTGAAGAAACTCATTAGTAGCTTGATGGGGATGGCATTGAATCTATAAATAAGCTTGGGCAGTATGGCCATTTTCATGATATTGATTCTTCCTATCCATGAGCATGGTATGTTCTTCCATTTGTTTATGTCCTCTTTTATTTCACTGAGCAGTGGTTTGTAGTTCTCCTTGAAGAGGTCCTTTACATCTCTTGTAAGTTGGATTCCTAGGTATTTTATTCTCTTTGAAGCAATTGTGAATGGAAGTTCATTCCTGATTTGGCTCTCTGTTTGTCTGTTACTGGTGTATAAGAATGCTGGTGATTTTTGCACATTAATTTTGTATCCTGAGACTTTGCTGAAGTTTCTTATCAGCTTAAGGAGATTTTAGGCTGAGACAATGGGGTTTTCTAAATGTACAATCATGTCATCTGCAAACAGCGACAATTTGACTGACCTGACCAGTTTTTTTTAAAGTTCTCCAGATGAAAACGTAGTGCAGCCACAATTAACAATCACCAATATTCACAATAATTAATACTGCATCAGCCTGTATGTGCCAGGCACTCTTTATATGATTCACTCATATTCACTCATTTAATCCTCGTAACAATGTTATTGAGCCAGTATGCTTTATTTCCATTTACAAATGAGCAAACTGATCCTTTAGAGAGGTTAGATAACTTTCTAAAGTTATGGTGATTGGAAAAGAGGAAAAAAAAAGGATTATCTGATTTTAGGAACTCGCAGCCTACCTCTATTATCAAATCTACAAATTCATTCAATTATTCTTTCAACTGCTGATTTATTCCACAATCATGGATTGAGTACTTATCATGTAATAGAAGTTGGAAATATAGACAAATAGAATGTGGCCTACATCTTTGGAGGAGTTCATTCCTAGAATATTCCTAACTTTTATGCCTGGAATGTAGCTGTGATGACTGGTGTCCTTATGCCTCTCTTGTATATTTTTCCCATCTGTATTTAGCAGCTCTTCAGATTGAAATTTTACAGCAGCTGTACAAAGGAATTTTAAACTGGTACATGTGCAGCATTCTCTATTTGGACCTTGTAATTCCAAAACTACAGTGGGCTGTTGGCTGGCCAATAGCTAACACAAAGTTGAGGTTTAATGAGTTAAATTGCCATTCCAAAAATGTGCATTTGTCACCTGTCTCTGGACATATTTGCTAACATTTATATCCACAGTACCTAGCACAGTTATTACCTAGCATATAATAAATAGTAAATAATTTTGTTTAATTGAAGTAAAGTATATTGACTTGGAATTATACCTCAAGATACCAATCTGAGTTACTAAAGGATTCATAGTTTTAGATCTCTCCTTTTTTCTTTTAATAGGCTTAAACATTCTCTTCCCAGACTTATGAGGCTGGTACTAGGTATGCTGATGCATTTAAGTAACTCATTAAAATAATTTTATCTTTTAAATTCTTGATGATGGGTAAAGGCCTTGTTTAGAAAAATGATATGTTTCTTTAATGTCTTCTGCTGGCATCTATTTATTCTCCTGATTTTGATCCACATTTGAAAAGTGGCTGTGATGAGAGGCTCATGAGAGAGTCATGTACCCTCCCTAATCCTTCATTTAATATAAAGCAATTATAAATGGAATTAAACATTAAACTGATTCCACAAAATTAAACGAAGCAAGGCCATCATTTAGTGGTCGAGGTTTTGTACCTTAAGGATTATATATACAATTACAGGAAAGACTTTGGGCAGTGGACACTTTAAATTTTGGGATAGAAAAAGTTGTAGTCAAATCTCTGGTGTAAGAGGATAAATGTTTCCCTACAGAACGGTGCACGAACTCTTGGGATTCAAATACCAAATTTTGAGTTCTGTCGAGAACTATCAGTGAGGCATTCTCTCCAACCAAACAAAAACTGAAAGAGAATAATCTCCCTTTCATAAAGTAGTACTCTTTATGTCATCTTCCCTAGAATCCAGGGGGGGAAAGGAGTCTAAAAGGAAACTTAACCTTTTATATTTGCATAAAAATGACCATTTTGGTTTTTACAAAGCAAGATGTGAGTAAAGGATAAAAAAAATGTAATCTAGTCCATTCTTATTTGTGCATACCTTTTTTTGAGCAGCTTGTGTCATCAGTGAAAACCTGTCAGAACTCTCAGAGCTCATAGCAAGGGCTGGCCACAAGCCTTAATCAGCAATGAACCGGCCAGCACATTTAATTTTAATTAAGTCCCCATGCCAGGAAAGAAGGCTTTGGGGGAAAACAGGCTTTAGAGGTGCCATGTGTTCATGGAGTTGTTCTATATTCACAGAACCATTTGAAATAATTGCAGCTGGTGTGAACATTAACTGACCAATTAAAAGAATTCTATCACTTGACTCCTGCCAAACATTTGACATGACTACAAAATGATCTTTGAATTATGCACACCTTTATGACTGCTCATTTTCCTGGGACATCAGGAGACTTTCTTCCAGAATTGATCTCTCTCTTGAATTGAAACCAGCATTTCCTCTTTCAGTTTCCTGTCACAAGTAATAAATAAAAAATAAACCATTCCATTCTTTTTGCAAAAACACCAAGGGCAGAGGTAATGATTTTACCCCAACTCCAAAGAGACTGGAGGAGGCCAATTACAGCTGTCGAAGGCAAGCTGGACTCTGTCGTTGCAGGTAATAAGATCTCCCCGAAACTCACCATCTGTACCTTCATTTCACCAGTTGCTATCAAATTACATTTTCCATAAAGAAATTAAAGAAAAATCGAATCACACACCATATGTAGATCCATCTCCCCTGGTGTTATTTACATTTGCCTTTTCCATTATGATTATTAGGGGAAAGGACACTTGTGACTTGCTGTACTAAGGTATGGCTGGATGAGGAACCTTATGCCAGTAATGCTACCTTTACTAGTTACCTTCGAAATAGGGGACCATAGCTTCATTGAGCCATTTCTCCTAACTCTGGAGTGTGGAAGAAGATTGTTAGAAAAAAGAGAAAAAAAGAAAAACACATGCAAATTTGGAGTCTTACCACAAATATTTCCCTTCCGATCCAACAGTGGGTGCTTTGATAAAGAACAAACCTGGAAAGCAATAGATTTTACTGGTAGTATGGCCCTGAAAGCATTCAGAAAATTTATTTCTTAGCTGTAAGGCTGCGGTTTATAGTACAATGAAAAGAAGGAGAGGCAAGCATTTACACTGAGGGAGTGCTTAAAATCAAGACTAATTTCTTCATTGTTTGCTCTGCATCTGGTTTATAGATCGTTAACCTCTTGGTACATTGGCTCTTTTCCCTAGGTATATGAACAAGCTATAATTCCTTCCATCTTAAAAAAAAAAAATCCATCCCTTCACCTCAGGCCTCTGTTCAGCTATTGTATTATATCTCTCTTTACCTTCATCATTATGGCTTTGAAAATCCACTTCCTCACTTCCCATTAGCATCTCAGATCACTGCAATCTTCCTCTTCTGTCCTCAGTATTACATTGAACTGGAACATCCCCAATACAATGCATAAATTTTAGCTATTGTATTCTCTGCCTCACTAATATTTTACTACTCCTTTATGTTTTTAACCCTAGCCATATTCACTGCCTCTTTAATATTCTTTTCTGGTTTCCCTTCATCCTCTCTGGTCTCTCCTTCCCAGTGCCTCAAGTCCATCCTTTTTTCTCATCCCCACAGTGTGACATTAATGCACGACCTTATCGTATTATTTCAAAATTACACTTTCACTGGCTTGCTGAACTTTCAATAATTCTTTCTTTTTGTTTCCTGTCTTAACACTTTGTAATAACACTCATTTATTCTCCCTTGCCTCATCAGAACCTCACAATAGTCATTAGAATAAACCCAAACTTCCTATCATATGTCCTGTTAATGACTCCCCAGCTTCCTCTGACTCTCATCCACAGATAAGAAGCCATACCAAATTGTTTGCTAAGTATTCTATTCCATGTTTTGGTAAAGTCCTTATTCCACTCTTTTATCTAGCTAACGCCTACCCATATTTCATGAAATATTTTAAATCTTATCTCCTTAGAAAATCAACCCAGACACCATATGCAGATAGTCCAACCTCCCCCTCTTCATTACTTTCATTGTACCCTGTGTATGCCTCCATAGTTACTTATTGTACTGTTTTGCTGTGGTCTGTATTTTGGCACTAGACTCATCTTCCAGTAATGAACCATGTTTTTAATTAATGTATTCTTCAGTATTTATAACAGCGCTAGATATTAGTCACTAATGTCAAGTTAGAAGAAAAAAATGGAGAAGGAGAGAAAGAAAGAAAGGAAGGGAAGGAAGGAGGAACAGAGGGAAGAATCAACATATATGTTACTATGCCAGACCAGCATCCATCCATCCATCCATCCATCCATCCATCCATCCATCCATCCATCGAAACTTCTTGTAGTAGTTTTCTTAGGAACCACCCTTTCCTACCCAGTACATGTGATTCAGGTAGAGTTAATTTCACACTTGGCTTCAAGAGTGCCATATGGATTTTGAAAATATAAGTATTAACTTTGCCTGCCAATTCTGAATGCAGACACTTTGAAAGCTCAAATATCTCAGAGATAGAAAATATTTTATGCATGTTTTCCAAAAATATGTTATATTAGAAGTTAAGTACAACTTTAGCATACATAACAACAATGCTAAGATGTCTGCTAACTATCCAGCAGGGTTATCTCAGGAGTCTAACCTAAGAATGAGAGCATTAATTCAAGTGATGCTTAAACTCATTTAACCATGCAAATAAGTCCTTGAATTCAAGTTTACATACTGTTTGTTAAAACTTCCTTGAATTGTATCTACATTTTCTTTATGCACATCCTATATGTTGAAGTTATTTTGTTGTCTCAGTCACAAAATCCTTCCTCTGAGATGTCCCAGGTATTCCACATTGCCTTTCCTTCTTATGTTTCTTATATCCACCATCACTTTCCTTTTCCTTCTTTGTGGTGCCAGCTCCTGGAAAAAAATCAGGGAATACCTAAGCTCTTCACGTTCTTTACCCATCAACACAGAGGTGGCAAGTTGGCAAAATCACTAACTGCCTCCAGCCCACAGATTTATTTTTCACCAGCCAACTTATAATGATTTGAGGATTTAACCTAAAAACTGAGTTTTCAGCTTCCTTAAAAAAAAAAAAAATTTCTAACAGATCTAGAGCACCAGTTTTTCCAGCTATTGTGGGTTACATGGTGCTCCCTATAAGGATTCATTGAAGTCTTGACCCCCAGTAGCTATAAATGTAACCTTATTTGGAAACAGACACTTTGCAGATATAATCAAGTTAACACAAGGTAATATTGGATTAGGATGGGTCTTAATCTAATTATTGGTTTCCATATAAGAAGAGGAAAATGTGGACATAGAGACATAGATACACAGGGAGCAGAATGTCATGTAAATATACACAGACAAAATGAGGTCATCATTGTGGAAGGGATGGGAGTGATGTGTCTACAAGCCAAGGAATGCCAAGAATTGTGGGTGACCACCAGAAGCTAGGAAGAGGTAGCAAAGGATGCTCCCTTCTCCTTCAAAGAGCAAATGGCCTTGCCAACACATCAATTTAGAAATTTCAGCCTCCAGAACAGTGAGACAACAATTTTCTACTGTCTTAAGCAACCTAATTTATAATACTTTTTTAGGTCAGCCCTAGGATACTAACATAGTAACAATGGGCTAAAAATAAATGTAGGCTGCCCCCTTTAGAAGGGGCTTGTGATCTACAGTCCAGGGAGCTCAAGATCCTTTTTGTCACCCCTATGGTTTCTTAGTCATCAAGGCTAAATGTCATTTGCCATTTGTCTCCTGCCACTCAGCGAATCTCCCTCACTCACATTATATCTTTGGTCCCTGTAAGACTTTCAGTTTGTGATATTTTACTATTTGCATATTAATACTTTCATTTTTTCATTTCAAGTTTTATATTTTGTTTAATACTACTCTCAACAATGTCATTGGCAACTGCTGCTTTTCTTTGTGTAGTTGTTGACATTTTGGAAATTGATTTCATCTTGAGTAAAAAGGAGAGAAATACCTATGTTTTCACCAAGATATTGATATTTTGTTACAGATAATTCTTTATTTGAGGGATTGTCCTATGCCTTTTATAATAATTAGTAGCATCTCAGGCTTCTTCTCACTGGATGCCAGAAGCACCTTCCGTCGTCGTGACAACCAAAAATGACTCCAGAAAATGTCAAATTTTCTAGAAGGGGAAGATCCTCCCAACAAAATCTTCCCAACAGAGAGCCGCCATCTTAGGTTATTTTTCCTATCCATGCTCAAAGAGAAAGAATAGGACACTATAACAAATGTTTCAAAATAATAAATGTCTCATAAAAAGTAATTCACAAGGGTTCATGATGCCTCTACACTTTTGTCTTGTCACGTATTTCTGTACATCTAGCTGTAAGAATTCTCTTTATGACAAAAAGTCTTAGATGTATCCCAGGAACTTTTTGGCTATTCTGCCTTAATAGTAATAACATTAATATTAATTAGGACATTGCCATACTGATAAAATTTTTTGTTCCCCAGCTGATTGTGGCCAGTGAGAATATGTGGATAGGTGTTGGCCAATGAGATATGAGTGGGAGTGCTATGTGAAACATTAGAAAATGCCATTAAAGAAAGCGCTTACAAATATTCAGTTCTTTTTTGCTTCCTGCTGCCTGAAATTTGAATGTAATGATTGGAGTGCTGGCAGCCATCCTGAGACAATTCAGTAAAAATAGAGGGAACACAAATTAGAAGTCTGGGTCCCTGAAACAGAGGATCTGCCATATTACTTCAGAATTGCCTCTCTTAGGACTTCAACTCAGGAAAAAAAAAAAACACACACACACACACACACACACACACTTTTATTTCAGGTTTCCTGATACATGGAACACAGTCTACCTCTAGTTAATACATAGCTCATTCTAATTCTACAAAGCTTTTTCAAAGTTTGCTTAACAATAATTTGTACTATTTCAATATTTGCTCATACATAGCTCTATTTAAAGTTCAAAAATTATCAAAGTGTTTTTTATTATATATTAAAGACAACATATACCTTGTGAGAGTACGGTTGGATCAGGGCTAACGTATACAAAGCACCCAAAACATTGCCTGTGTGATGGGTGTTGCTACAGTCATGAGGATAATTATAAAAATTGCCATTATCATTAGATGTGAGAATGTCTTCATTTAGCATTCCTATCATCTAAGGAAAGGATTCTAAAAGTCTTGAAAATATCAATTTGGGAGGCTAGGAATGAAATAGATATTTTACTTACCTATTTTCTTCTGTGTCATATTAAATATGATATTAAAACCAAAACTTGTATCTGAAATCTGAATGCCGATTGGCATCACCGATGATATTTTAAAACGTATAGATGCTTCTGGACCACTCCAAGAGATTCTGATTTAATTATTGTGGGGCACAGCCTAAACATTAAGAATTTTTAGAGCTCCCTAGCTATTCAAAATTCACAGCAGAGTTTCAGAATCACTGCTTTAAACAACAGTAAGAACAGCCCCTTTTTTTTACTGCTTGCTGTAGTTGTCAGAGACCAGGGGGCTGGCATTGGAAATGGATGAGCAAACTGTAACTCACCAGGTTGCCTGAATACTTACCAAAATAACTAGATTTTCCTCTTTTTTTTTTTCCATCATATTCTTCTCTTCTGATTTTTTTCTCATTTTTATCAGTCATTTATTGGCAATTCTAAAATAGAAAAGGAATTTACCATTTAATCTTAAAAAACTATATATGAGCTTTCCAGGTAACGGTTGAAAAGAGGAGAATATCAGAATGATTTGGCATTAGAGTGGCTTCCTCTGACATTGTTAGTCACAATTGCCTTGACTTTCAACCCATTGCCTTTCTTATCTTTAACATTAAACTTTGTCATCACCTCTAATTTTTTTAATATATGAAAAAATGTAAGTTTATTGCTGATGAAAATTCTAATGTCACAGAAAAATGGCAGAACAAATTTTTAAGAGCAAGATATATTGCTGAATCCACAATGGGATTTTATTCTATTCTAAGCAATGTTTTTCATTTAAAATTTTTTTATACCCTTCTCACCTCTTTTTTTATATATATATACTTTAAGTTCTGGGTTACATGTGCAGAACGTGCAGTTATGTTACATAGGTATATGTGGTGGTTTGCCGCACCCATCAACCAGTCACCTACATTAGTTATTTCTCCTAATGTTATCCCTCCCATAGTCCCCAACCCCTAACAGGCCCCAGTGTGTGATGATCTCCTCCCTGTGACCATGTGTTCTCATTGTTCAACTCCCACTTATGAGTGAGAACATGCAGTGTTTGGTCTTCTGATCTTGTGACAGTTTGATGAGAATGATGGTTTCCAGCTTCATCCATGTCCATGCAAAGTACATGAACTCATCCTTTTTTATGACTGCATAGTATTCCATGGTGTATATGTGCCACATTGTCTTAATCCAGTCTATCACTGATGGACATTTGGGTTGGTTCCAAGTCTTTGCTATTGTGAATAGCACTGCAATAAACATACATGTCCATGTGTCTTTTTCATAGAATGATTTATAATCCCTTGGGTATATATATGCCTAGTAATTGGATTGCTGGGTCAAATGGTATTCTAGATCCTTGAGGAATTGTCACACTGTATTCCACAATGGTTGAACTAATTTACACTCCCACCAACAGTGTAAAAATGTTCCTATTTTTCCACAGGCTCTCCAGCATCTGTTGTTTCCTGACTTTTTAATAATCGCCATTCTAACTGGCATGAGATGGTATCTCATTGTGGTTTTGATTTGCATTTCTGTAATGACCAATGATGATGAGCATTTTTTCATGTGTCTGTTGTCTGCATAAATGTCTTCTTTTGAGAAGTACCTGTTCATACCCTTGGTCCACATTTTGATGTGGTTCTTGGCTTTTTTCTTGTAAATTTGTTTAAGTTCTTTGTAGATTCTGGATATTAGAACTTTGTCAGATGGATAGATTGCAAAAATTTTCTCCCGTTCTGTAGATTGCCTGTTCACTCTGGTGACAGTTTATTTTGCTGTGCAGAAGCTCCTTATTTTAATTGGATCCCATTTGTCAATTTTGGCTTTTGTTGCCATTGCTTTTGATGTTTTAGACATAAAGTCTTTGGCCATGCCTATGTCCTGGATGGTATTGTCCCCAGGTTTTTTGCTAGGATTTTTATGGTCCTAGGTCTTACATTTAAGTCTTTGATCCATCTTGAGTTGATTTTTGCATAAGGTGTAAGGAATGGGTCCAGTTTTAGTTTTATGCATATGACTAGCCAGTTTTCCCAACACCATTTATTAATAGGGAATCTTTTTCCCGTTGCTTGTGTGTGTCAGGCTTGTCAAAGTTCAGGTGGTGGCAGATGTGTGGCGTTATTTCTGAGGCCTCCATTCTGTTCCATTGGTCTATATATCTGTTTTGGCACCAGTACCATGCTGTATGGTTACTGCAGCCTTGTAGTAAAGTTTGAAGTCAGGTAGCATGATGCCTCCAGGTTTTTTCTTCTTGCCCAGGATTGTCTTGGCTATGCGGGCTCTTTTTTGGTTCCATATGAAAGTTTAAAGTAGTTTTTTCCAATTCTGTGAAGAAAGTCAATGGTAGCTTTATGGGGATAGCATTAAATCTATAAATTACTTTGGGCAGTAAGGCCATTTTCGTGATATTAATTCTTCCTACCCATGAAATGTTTGTCCGTTTGTTTGTGTCCTCTCTTATTTCCTTAAGCAGTGGTTATGTTTTTGCACACTAAACTGAAGGGCAGATAGGGAAACAAATAAAAAAATGAAATTACCATTTTTATATACCTTGAAAACTGACTTATAACAAGTTACAAGATGAAATAAAACTATAAAGAATAAAGGGATATACTCATTTCTTTTTAGCAAGTTGAGTTTTGAAGGAGATGGTGTACTATTTTGATAAATAATTTTCTCAACAAAGAAAGATATTGAGAAATATCCAGTGATTTTTAAAAAAATACAGTACAGTTTGGAACAAATAAAGTTTCAATGTTTATGCATGGAAGTTGGTTTTATAATACAATCCCCAACTTACAATGATTCGACTCAAAATGTTCATACTTTATGATGGTGTGAAAGCAATATGCATTTAGTGGAAACCAGACTTCAAGTACCCATAAAACCATTCTGTTATTCACTTTCATTGAATGGTATTCAATGAATTAATTAAATTAAATAAATGATATATTCAACCTTATTATAAAAAAGGCTTCATGATAGGTGATTTTGCCCCACTGTAAGTTAAGGTAAGTGATCTGCACACACTTAAGGTAGGCTAGGCTAAGCTGTGATGTTAAGGAGGTTAGGTGTATTAAAGGCATTTTTAACTTACAATGTTGTCCACTCACAATGGGTTTATTGGGATAAAACTTCACTGTAGTCAAGGAGCATATGTACACAGAAACCATATTAGTGCCTACCCCAAGTGTATATTATGATCTAGGATTTAAAAGAAAGCATTAAATATGCCCAATTGCTGATGTCAAACAGGTTTGGATGTGATTCAGCCTTAATAATAGAAAATGGAATTTGAAAATTGAGCACAAATATTTTTGTTTGTCTAGGTCAAGAGTGATATTCCTTTAACTTGGTTGTAAACACATTTTTAACTTTTTCTTGGGAAATCCTTATAGAAAGTGAGTTTATATAGTCCCATGATTTATAAACAAAGAAACATCGACACCTATGTTATCCTCATCACAGGACAAGAAAATAGAGTACTGTCGGAACCTAAAGCCCCTTCATGCCATTTCTTAATCTTTGCCCATCCCTCCTGCAAAAGGCAAACATGATCCTTTTCTTTATAGATAAATTAATTAAGCATGTATCCATAAACACTGAAATTAGTTATGTCTGACTTATAAAATTTATTATATATTTATAATTTCTATAAGTATATGTAAATTTTATATAAGTAAAACTATAAAATAGGTGTTCTTTGAGGTCTAGTCTCTTTCACTCTACATTATGTTTATGAGATTCATTCACATGATTTCCTATCGGTGTAGTTCATTTAGTATTGATGGTATATATGATTCCATTTTGGTAATATGCCACAATTTATTTATCTATTTTACCCTTAATACATATTTGGATTGTGTTTAGTTTGAGAATATAATAAATAAGACCCCTATGAACATTCCTTACATGACTTTCAGAGCATCCAATGGAGGTTGATGTGCCAGTTGAGGGGGCTGACATTTAGGAAGCTATTAAGATGACTAATTGATGAGCAGCTAACAAAAATATCAATTTATATAAGAATGAATGTCCAGGAGACTGAGAAAACTCCTATAAATAAGAAGTCCTCATTTCTTACCCAGTTTCTGCATGTCAGCTAGTTCTCAGAAGCCAAATTCATTGGCCAGAAGAAAAGCTGGGTCCTCATGAGATGGACCCCAGTAATACAATGGCAAGTATATTTAGTAAAAATTATCTGAGTCCTTTCTCAAAGGAACATATACATAAATTTACTCAGGTTGCCATCCGTTGGAAAAAGAGTCATTCTCAAACATTTTGAGAAATTTTGGACACAGGTTCAAAGTTGACACTGGTACTCAGGGGCCTGAAGAATCATCATGGTCCACTAATTAGAGGTTTATATGGAGCAGTTAATAAATACAGTCATCACTCAGTATCCAAGGGATTGGGCCTAGGATGCCCTGTGGATTTCAAAATTCATGGATACTCAAGTCCCATATATAAAATGGTGTAGTATTTGTATATAATGTATATATGTCTTCCTGTATATTTTAAATCATCTCTAGACTACTTTTAATACCTAATACAATGTATATGCTATGTAAATAGTTGTTATACTGTATTGTTTAGGAAGTAATCACAAAAAAGTCTGTACATGTTTGGTACTGTTCATGTTCAGTATAGACTCAAACACCCATTTTTTGAGACCAGAATCTCATTGTGTTTCCTAGACTGACCTCAAGCAATCCTTCCACTTCAGCCTCTTGAGTAGCTGGGATTACAGGCAGATGCGACCACACCTGGCCATTTTTTTCTCCCTGAATATTTTCAATCTGAAGTTGATTGAATACATGGATGTGGAACTCATGATTATGGAGGACTGACTATACTGTCCTAACCCAGACTCAGCTCACAGTGGTTTAATTGTGTTCAGAGACTGAACTGCTGATCATTTCCTGGGTTTCTGAGTATATAATCATAAACCACATCACATGATAATTGGCAGAGCCATAACACTAGCTTCTTGGCCTATGGAGTATGAGAGTGGTTATAAGTAGCGAATTCAAAGCAGAAGCTCCTGAAACTACCAACACCCCTTCCCTGTTAAAATAATGAATCAAAACACCATCCATTCCAGAAGGAATGACAGAGGTTAGTGTCGCCTTTTTTTATTTTTCATTCATTTGTATATTTTTAATTTTCTCTTTTGATTTTTGTGGGTACATAGTAGGTGTATATATTTATGGGGTACATGAGATGTTTTGATACATACATACAATGGGAAATAATCACATTATGTAGAATGGGGTATCCATCCCCTCAAGCATTTATCCTTTTGTGTTACAGACAATCAAATTATACTTTTTAAGTTATTTTATAATGTACCGTTAAGTTGTTATTTACTACAGTCACCCTGCTGTGCTATCAAATATTAG